CTTTTTTCAAAAAGTCCGGTTTGTGAGAAGGGTTATGGCTCAAAGCGCTTGTTTTTCTCCGAGGCAGCAGCGTGTCACTTCGCCCACAAGGCCTTTACCAAGCACTTCTCGCGCGTCAGCGGGTGTTCTTACCATTTGCCTGGCATGTGTGCAGTGCTGAGCGGGCGGGCGTGAGCGGGTGTTCTTACCATTTGGCTGGCATGTGTGCAGTGCTGAGCGGGCGCGCGTGAGCGGGTGTTCTTACCATTTGGCTGGCATGTGTGCAGTGCTGAGCGGGCGCGCGTGGTCGAGTGTTCTTACCATTTGGCTGGCATGTCTGCAGTGCTGAGCGGGCGCGCGTGAGCGGGTGTTCTTACCAATTGCCTGGCATGTGTGCAGTGCTGAGCGGGCGCGCGTGGACGGGTGTTCTTACCATTTGCCTGGCATGTGTGCAGTGCTGAGCGGGTGCGCGTAAGCGGGTGTTCTTACCATTTGCCTGGCATGTGTGCAGTGCTGAGCGGGTGCGCGTGAACGGGTGTTCTTACCACTCGCCTGGCATGTGTGCAGTGCTGAGCAGGTGCGCGTGAGCGGGTGTTCTTACCATCTGGCTGGCATGTGTGCAGTGCTGAGCGGGCGCGCGTGGACGGGTGTTCTTACCATTTGCCTGGCATGTGTGCAGTGCTGAGCGGGTGTGTGCAGTGCTGAGCGGGTGCGCGTGAACGGGTGTTCTTACCATTTGCCTGGCATGTGTGCAGGTGCGCGTGAGCGGGTGTTCTTACCATGTAACTGGCATGTGTGCAGTGCTGAGCGGGCGCGCGTGGACGGGTGTTCTTACCATTTGGCTGGCATGTGTGCAGTGCTGAGCGGGCGCACGTGGACGGGTGTTCTTACCATTTGCCTGGCATGTGTGCAGTGCTGAGCGGGTGCGCGTGTGTTCTTACCATTTGGCTGGAATGTGTGCGGTGCTGAGCGGGCGCGCGTGAGCGGGTGTTCTTACCAATTGCCTGGCATGTGTGCAGTGCTGAGCGGGCGCGCGTGAGCGGGTGTTCTCACCATTTGGCTGGCACGTGTGCAGTGCTGAGCGGGCGCGCGTGAGCGGGTGTTCTTACCATTTGCCTGCGCTGAGCGGGCGCGCGTGGACGGGTGTTCTTACCATTTGGCTGGCATGTGTGCAGTGCTGAGCGAGTGCCCGCGAGCGGGTGTTCTTACCATTTGCCTGGCACGTGTGCAGTGCTGAGCGGGCGCGCGTGGACGGGTGTGCTTACCATCTGGCTGGCATGTGTGCATTGCTGAGCGGGTGCGCGTGAACGGGTGTTCTTACCATTTGGCTGGCATGTGTGCAGTGCTGAGCGGGTGCGCGTGAGAGGGTCTTCTTACCATTTGGCTGGCATGTGTGGAGTGCTGAGCGGGCGCGCGTGGACGGGTGTTCTTACCATTTGCCTGGCATGTGTGCATTGCTGAGCGGGTGGGCGTAAGCGGGTGTTCTTACTGAGCGGGTGCGCGTGAGCGGGTGTTATTACCATTTGCCTGGCATGTGTGCAGTGCTGAGCGGGCGCGCGTGGACGGGTGTTCTTACCATTTGCCTGGCATGTGTGCATTGCTGAGCGGGTGGGCGTAAGCGGGTGTTCTTACCATTTGGCTGGCATGTGTGCAGTGCTGAGCGGGTGCGCGTGAGCGGGTGTTATTACCATTTGCCTGGCATGTGTGCAGTGCTGAGCGGGCGCGCGTGGACGGGTGTTCTTACCATTTGCCTGGCATGTGTGCATTGCTGAGCGGGTGGGCGTAAGCGGGTGTTCTTACCATTTGGCTGGCATGTGTGCAGTGCTGAGCGGGTGCGCGTGAGCGGGTGTTATTACCATTTGCCTGGCATGTGTGCAGTGCTGAGCGGGTGCCCGTGAACGGGTGTGCTTTCAAAAAATAGCAAACCTTCCACGGCGGCGAATGGCACGAATGAGAGCAACAGCAACAGCAACAGCAACAGCAACAGCAACAGCAACAACAACAACAACAGCAACAGCAACAGCAACAGCAAGAACAAGAACAAGAACAAGAGCAAGAGCAAGAGCAAGAGCAAGAGCAAGAGCAAGAGCAAGAGCAAGAGCAAGAGCAAGAGCAAGAGCAAGAGCAAGAGCAAGAACAAGAACAAGAACAAGAACAAGAACAAGCACAAGAACAAGAACAAGAACAAGAACAAGAACAAGAACAAGAACAAGAACAAGAGCAAGAGCAAGAGCAAGAGCAAGAGCAAGAGCAAGAGCAAGAGCAAGAGCAAGAGCAAGAGCAAGAGCAAGAGAAAGAGCAAGAACAAGAACAAGAACAAGAACAAGCACAAGCACAAGAACAAGAACAAGAACAAGAACAACAACACCAGCAGCAACCGCAACATCCACAACAGCACGACAACAACAACCTCAGCAGCAGGAGCAGCTACAACCGCAACAGCCACAGCAACACAACAACAACAACCCCAGCAGCAGGATCTTCAACAACAAAACAAAACAAGAACAACAAGAACAACAAC